CTGCCCGGCCGCGCCAGGTACACAGGCAGGTCGTCCTCCGTGTTCCATGCGCGCCTTCGGTCCGCCATCCCCGCCCCAGCCAGCCGGGCCCGCGCGCCAGCCCGCCCGCCGTCCTCGCCTCCGCCGCGCACCGCGCTCCGCGCCTTGGTGTGGGCCCGCGGCGGCCCAGGCGCGACTGCAGCCGGGAGGCGGGGAGGGGGCGCGGGGCGGAACCGGCGCGCGGGGCGGGGCCGGGGCAGGCCGGGGCGGGGCCTCGGCGCGGCTGCGGGCCAGCGACGCGCGGGCTACAAAGAGCCGGGGGGCGGGGACTGCTGCTGGGGCGGGAGGGAGGTGACGCGCTGGAGCCGCAGCACGGAGGGTGGGTGGCCGAACCGCAGTGCCCTCCGCTCACCCTCCACTCCCGCCCGCAGGCGGAGCACAGAGAGCGATCGGAGCCAGGGCTGTGAGCCGCGTGCGTGTACATGCGCGCACATACACACCACACACACACACACACACACACACACACACACACACACACACTACAAGCACACAAGGTTCACACCGCACAGCAATGACACCAAACACGTGAGAGATTTAGAAACGCAGAGAGAGATTTAGGCACACGCAGTTACACACACAGGCTGGTTTATGCACCAGCGTGGGCAATGTTGCACACACAGACATATCGGCGTATGCACACGTTTCTAGTCAATGACACATGTCCGCAGCTCTTGGTGCATCCATAGCGTCACGCGGAAATTAACTGTCCCCGGAAAGACTGCACTTTAGAGACGCTACTTATTCATGCACGTGCCTTACAGCCCGCCTGCTCCTCTTGGCAATGCGCAAGTGCTAGGGACAGGGTCATGACCAGAACAAGGTCCCTGCCTTCCTGGAGGAGATGTTGTAGGGAGGGGAGACTGCAGCTCAGGTAAGACGCACCCTGCAGTAAGAAGGGCCCAGGGAGAGCCCGCAGGAAAAGAAGGCCATGCTTGTAGCGCACTCCCAGGGATGCACGAGACAAAGCCACTCTTGACCCCAAGCTAGTGACCCACCTTGTACTCAAAGCACATGCCAGTGACACCACCAACAAAGGAATTTCCACACCAGTGTCCAAGGCAAACTCACAAGTCAGCTCAACACTTGTGAGCTCTCAGACCCCAACAGGGTGCCCACCCACACATCCACACTAGAATAAATGCGGTCAGGAGCTGACAAACAAAGAGCACACACACACCTGACACTCACCCAGGCTGGTGTATAGCCCATCTAGGGACACTGCCCCCACCCTGGAGCAGCCCCTCCTTGCTGGCCTGGAACTTGCAGCATGGGTCTCCCCATACCCAGGGCTCCTCTGACAAGGGCTGGGGAGGGCCTGAAGGCCTGAGGTTGCTCTGCTGTACTTGAAGTCCAGGCATCAGTGTGCTGTCTCCTCTAGACCGGGTCTCTAGTTTCAGGATCTTCAAGCATAGGGTCTGGAGAGTCTTTGGGGGACTCAGAAATCCCAGGTGCACCTTCTAGACTGAAGAATAATCAGCTGGAGGAGCCGCCCCCATAGATGAGTCCGGAGACGCAGTGGGCCTGGCAGGACCGCAGTGGGGACCCAGCCTCGCTGTCCCACCCCTCTGCCTGCTCCTCCAGGGCTGGGAGCTGTCCCTTCAGCACCCAGGCGGGCTGGTCAGATTGCTGCAGTGCATACTCGGGGATACTCGGTGAGCCTGATGGGAGTTCCTATTTCTGTGACTGCTGAGATTCATAGACTGAGGACTCTGGGGACGCTGGATTGTAGCCTTTGCTAACACCCTCTTCCATGTACTGTCTATGGCAGTTAAACCTGACTGTCAACTTGACTGGTTTGAAAGACACCTAGGAGATGTGTAAAGCCCACTTTGGGGTGTGTCTGGGTGTGTCAGGAGGGTGTGGCCCTGGGGACTATATCTTGTCCCTGACTTCCTCCTGCCTGGTACTCTTCCCTCTCTGTTCTGCTTTCTGGTCCTCGCTAAGTGAGTAGCTTTGTTCTGCCACCATGACATTCCAACCCTGGAGTCAGCTCACCATGCCCTGAGTCTCTTGAACCCTGAGCCAAGTGGAGAGCACTGGGTATGTTGTCCCAGGAGCAGAAAAGCTTCTCAGTGCATCATCTTTCAATTTGGAACAAGCCAGTTGGTGTGGCAAGCAGGAATCCTTTTACTGAGGCTTGAGGAGAGAGACAGAGGGTGTGGGTCAGCTACATACCCCTCCTTTCCATGGCTCCCCACAAGCTTAGAGCCCAGCCCATCCACTCCATGGGCCTCTAACAAGTCCTTTTTCTGGGCCGAAGACCAGTACTGGGGACACACATATGCATTATAAAGTTCCTGCCTCCAAGGAGTAAAATTCTAGTATGCAAGAGAGTGCTGAATACCATGCTGGACCCCTGGACCAGCTGTCTCCAACCCATGCCATCCACACCCTGGCTCCTCTTCCTCTGGTCTTTGCATCCCATGAAGATTTTTTGAACAAGATATATGGTTCATCTCTGTACTGGCAAACATGTACTAATAAAAATGGAAAATTGTAAAACAAGATATGTAGTGGTGCTCAGGATTTTAACCTGCAGTAAAGGACACTTTGCCATTAACCCCCCACTCCTTCCCATCCAACTTCTACACACACTCACCCCACCCTTCTTGCCACTTTCTGAAGCAGCTCTGGAAGTCCACTTTCGTGTCTTTTTGAAGTGTGATAAATATCATGACTGTGGCTTCCAGGACCACCCAATGGGAAGGCACTTTTTTTTCTTTTTTGAATCACTACACAGAATCTCTCTGTGTAGTGCAGGCTGGCCTTGAACTCACAGTGATCCTCCTACCTCAGCCTTCCAAGTGCTGAGATTAGAGGCATGCGCCACCACACCCAGCTGAAAGGCATGCTCGTAAAAACATCACCGTGTGCCATCATCCACCTCATCCACCTGATCTGCTGAGTGCCAGGGAACCCCAGAGTCTGAGTTAGATGGAAATTCGGGGTCAGCACCTCTCGTCCAGGCTCTACCAGCATCTTGGGGCTGCAGTGTGCTCTTGGCTTTGTCCTGGTAGTGGAGCTCTGGCTCATGTTTAGGGAGAGCCCTTCCATTGTGAGAAAGGGCCAGGCAGTTGGTGGGGAGGGGGAACAAGAGAAGAGTCAGGCAAGAGGGTCTTTATGTCAAAGCCAGAAAGACAGGGACCATCCCCACTTACACAGCGGACTACACATTGGGGACCCCTGCAGGCGCCTCATACCAAGCACCCTCCACACCTGCAGCAGCCTTTAGAGGACACGGCCACTTGGAGAGGCAAATCTGTAGTCACACCAGGAAAGGGGACTGCTGGGATTTGAACACCTCCCACTTCATCTTTCCAAGACACCAGACTAAGGGAGCCCCGCTGAGAGAGGAGAGAGCAATGGATGTGGTGTGTTCCGAGGGTCTGGGTCTGGGGTTAGAACTGTGCCCTCTGTGCTGCCTTGGCACTGAATCACTCACATTCAGTCAATACAGTTCAAGGACCCTCATGTCATCCCCGTTTCTCTGCCCTCCCCTCTGGGGGCAGGTCTGACATTCATGGGTGCCTACCATGTCTGCGTGCCTGATCACAACGCTTCCAGCCCTGCTTCACAGGCTTTCGGCTCCTTCACCTCCTCCTCCAGGCTGGTTTTCTGAGGGTGGCAGACCTTAAACCACTGCTACGGTTAACCTCCGGGGTGGAACACTCTGGAGTTCCCGCACAGGCATCCTAGAATCCTCCCCACACGTCTCCTCTGCTTCACACCGGCAACCCACCAGTGGCAGAGAGCAAAGCCAGGAGACAAGTTGGGGAATGTGCCCATCTGCCTGCCACAGGACAAGGGGAGCCATATCCAGCAGAGGCCACGGCGGATACCAGGATGCCCAAGCAACTCCAGTACACTGACAGCAGTGACCTCCTCTGCCCCATCCTCTCTATTCCCCAGAAAGGCGCTACCATAAATGGGTTACACCGTGACCCTTGATGGGGCGCAGCCTGGAGCCCAGCCTCCCAGGGCGTGAATCCTCTCTGGTGACAGCAGAGAACAGAGCGGGACAGGTCAGCTGGCTGCAGGGAGCAGACGAGAGTCCAGCTCAGCTCCAGTTGTATTTAGTTCAGGCAAAGATTAAAGTGTTTTTTAAGTAAGATGTGAAAATATTTTGAGGAAGAGGGAGTCCCATGCACCGTCAGGAACATGCTTCTCAGCGAGGCTGCAAATGAGTCATAAACAACCAACAGGGCAGAGGCTCAAGGGATCGAGCAAGCTGTCCCGTCTCATGTGGCCGGCAAGCGACAAAGATTTAGACTGATTTGATTCTAAAATGTGCCTTTCTCCAACTCTGCTTCAGAACACCGGAGATCAGGACAGGCAAGATGATAATGTCCCACAGAGGTGTCCACGTGTACCCAGTACCTGTGCAATCCATGGGACAGACAAGGTGCTGTGCGTGCCTACACACTAAAAGGACTCTCCCTGGGTTTCTGCTAGATCCAATGTAGGGGAAGGGCCCCTCAATGTGACAGGGACACCAGAGTGACACATGACATTGGGAACAGAGGTCTGGGGCTGAGCCTTGAAGATGCCACACTAAGGGCTTGGGAGATAGTGGGAAGGGACACAGTCAAAGTAAGGCCAGTGACCTCTAGAAGCCAGGACACCAAGCCCCAGCCCGGCCTGCTGCAGAATCGAGATCTGACCCGCGCCAGGCTTCTGGTTCCCAGAACTGAGACAATGCACATTGTCGCCTTGTGGTACTTCAGCCTCGGGCTCAGTACCATCCATCCATGCAGCAATTCAATGGGTTCTACAGGAGCTGCTGGATGGGCATACCATGGTTTGACTGCTGAGGAAGTGATGTATTCAACACTGAAACAAAGAGTCATTGGCTGTATGTCACATCACTGCTTTCGGAGTCATTGTGTGTCACATCAGGGCTCCCACCACTTTGTGGCGGGAACCAATAACTGAGGACAATCCAAAGGCACAGAACCCTCTGTGTATGAAAAAGCATACATTTTAATGTACAAAATTACACAAAGTATACATTTAACTGATGTAGAAAAATACATCTCAGTAACAAGAGAAAACCCAGCCTCCTGTACACAGACAGAACCATCAAGTGGTACAAAACTCAAAACCCTGCAGGGAGGCTGAGCGTGCACACGGCAGGCTGGAGAATCTGATGCCGCCTCTGAGGACTGAGTGCTCTGCTGACTGTGGGCAAGGGCTGGGGACAGCCAGGGTTTGGTGACCTCCGGAGGGGTCTGTGTGCATCGCAGGACCACGCCTAGGCTGCACTGTCCACATCCATCCTGGGGTGGCTAACACTGACCTACAGGACGCCTTCTCATGGGTGTGCGCAGCTATGGGGGTGGCATCATTGTCCCTACAGTACCCAAAGGGGAGGCGCATGCTTTTCAAACGGATGTGTGTATCACAGTCTCTTGTGGTTTCTGCCCAGGATTCAACCTGGGAGGAAGGAGACCAGGAAGGTTCTGCCAAGAGAAACAGCAAAGATTACTCATGGCTATGGCCCGTGACACTCGCATCCTTCCCTGCCTGACCAGTGGAACCTGAGCTGTGTCAGGCTCCGGCTTGGGGCGGCAGCGCACACTTCGGCCCTCTGAGCCTCCACACAGGCCCGAGCTCATGCCTTCCCTGCTTTTGCTACGGAGAGGCGGAGGGGTGTACACTGTGCAAGTGTGCACAGCTGAGTGCAAAGCCAGGGGGTGTGCTCCACCCCCACCCACCTGTCTGCTAGGGCTCTGTCCTTGTCCTGGTGAAAAGTCCAGGTTAGCACTTCCAAGATCACTGCAAGGCCCTTTATCTCTGCGTTTCTGTCAGTCATCCTTGCAGGAAGACCAAAGCTGTGTTATGTCAGTCTACTTTAAAATATATTGACAGAGTCAAAATCTAGTTTTGAGCCATGTTGAACAGTCTGATTTATAACAGCAAGATGGTCTTCCTCTTCCTTTTCTTCTACCATAACAACAAAGTGCCAGAGCCTGTTGTTTTCAGAGAAAGAGGAGAAAAAATGTTGAAGAGAAGCTTACATTCCCGGGATCAGCGCTCCCGTGGTCTCCCCACAACTCTGCAAATCATGTTTACGCCAGGCACACGGGGACTGGATTCGGACGGAAGCTGCGCTGCTGAAACTAGGACGGGGTTCAGAAGGGATCACATGGGATAAAGAAAACCCAATCCTTCAATCCCACGTCCACCCGACTTACTGAAGACAGTTTAGGTGCAATGTGTGAATTATCTTCTAGAAATTCTTATGACACAGGGAGAATGTCTAATATGCCAACAAACCCCAGGGGGTTTCTTTCTCTGCTTCCTTAAGGCCCCAGGGATTTCATTTCGAGGCCAAGTAGGAATACAGCAAGCAATCGTCGAATAAAAATCTACTCCTGTTTGCTTCTCCCAGAATTTCTCTTTCTACAAGAGTTTGGGGTGCTGGCCACAACAGAACCCAAGAGATTTATTCAGCGTGGCTGTGGGTCAGTCACACATTCTGTGGACTTTCAGGTGTAGGGTAGTGACCAGCCACCAAGGGTCAGCATGTGTCACATATGCCACTCCCTTAAAAATTGTCACTTCAAAGGCTTCCACCGGATACACTCCAAAGGAGACTCAGGGCCGGAAGTACCCTCGGTTAAGAAGCTTAAGCCAGAGGAAACACACCAAGGATGGTGGGATTTAATTAGCACTGCATACAGGGGCACTGGACGAGACTGGCACTGTAGTCTGCAGAGGGGCCCTGCTGGGACAGTGACCCCAGGGGCTCGGGAGGGGCTGGGTGCCCTTCCACCTTCTAGCTGCAGAGCATCCAGCCAGCGAGTGAGGTGAGAGTGGCCACCATAGGATCCAACCCTCAGGTCCTAAACACCCTAGCCTCTGTGGTGGGCCACGGGTGCAGAGTGCTGGGGACCCCCGCACCCACCACTGGCCTCCCTGCCCATTCCCTCTGGGGCAACAACAGCTCAACAGAAGAAACGGTCGCGTGTCTGAAAGATGCTGAACGCATCCAGCACTGCCCTCTCAGAAGCTGGGCGAGTCCTGGAGAAGTTTCAGGATCTAGACCTGGGATTTCACTCTGAAATCCAGCCAGAGCTGGGGATCTCTCAAAAGCAGCTCAGCAGCATGGGGGTGAGCAGTTCCTCCTCAAGTTTACTGTTTTTTCAATAAAACAAAAAGGCCAAGTAGGAATACAGCTGGGTCCTGGGGCAGAACTGGGCTCCCACCCTCATGGTGACAGGTCACTGGACTCCCATGGTAACCACTCCCAGCGGTTCGTATGTCTGGGATCAGTTTGGCTGCTTGATGTCACACACTGAAGAAGGATGCAGGGAAGGCCACTGAGGGGTGGGTGAAAACCTCAATCCTGAGCCAGAAGCAGTGGCACTGATCTGCAGCCTCAGCTCCTCAGGAGGCTGAGGCAAGAGGATGCAGGCTCGAGTCCAGCCAGGGCAACTTAGCAAGAGCCTGGGCATGTAGCTCAGCACAGAGGCCACAGACCCCACCCTCAATTCCAGAAAACAATCAGCCATATGAACCTAGCCAAGAAGTCAGGGCTCCCCTTACACGAATGGCTTCCATGGAAAGGAATGACACCCTCACTCTGCCCCGCCCCACTGCTTGACTAAGTAGGGCAGACTGCAGCCCACCGGAAACCCAGGACTTCCTAGGTTTGCTTCCTAGGACTAAGACCAGAAAGCACTGCACTGGGCCATTGCTGGGGACTCCTTTGAGAAAGCCACAGAACCAGGCTCCATCTGTCTGGAGCCAGGGGTGGGATCACGTGACTGTGGATTGCCTGGTGACCTGCTTGGGGTTCAGCGTCCTCACTTGCAGGACAGGGAAGGATGGGCATCTATGCTGAAGTCTAAGGCCCTCCCCAGCCCCAATAGTGGGTGTTCCTCACCAGTGTTCACAGCCCCTGCACGGAGGGCAAGGGCATGCTGCACCCTGAGCACAGGGCCCTTCTGGGTGGCACAGCCACCGAGCCACACTGCCTCCTTGGGCTCAGCCCCACCACACCTCCAATGAACCTATTTTAAGCCACGCTGCCTGGCAGTTCACAGGGAAACGTTGCCATGCCAACCCGCGGGCTGTTGCTAATCGTGATCTATGAATGTGCCGTGCAGCCATCTGACGGGCGAGTCCATCCTCCCTTAGCCCGAGGACTCTTCCGCATTGTCTGTAGATGCACGGTCTGGTCTTAAATGGCACACAGCAGGTGCCTAATGAATGGCACCGCATTAACGACCCGAATCTGCATGATGCTGAGGCCCGCAGAGCGCTTTCCCACAGATCCTCCACACTGCTGTACCGCCAAGGCAGACGTTCGCTACCCCATTCGCCAGGTGAGGAAACTGAGGCAGGGAAGTCGCTCTCACTGTTCTCAGAGCTAACAAGCTGCACAATTCTGATGGCAGCCTCACTACTCTGATTTGAACCCGAATCTTTTCCTCTGACACCAGTGGCCTCTGTCATCTCTCTAGCACTGAAGTCCATGTAGTTCTGCAGAATGCAGGAGTCTGCCAAGTGCCTTTCCATCCGCATTCTCACCTCACTCAAAGCCGAGGGGCCCTGTGGGAAGGGGGCGCCTGCTGCTGGAGGGCAGAGGTTGGGGTTCTGCTTTCTCCCATAGCCACAGGGCCTACTGCAGAGCCGGGGACCCCATGCTCATCATCAGGTTCTGTTGTTGAGTGAATGAGCAGTGACACCGGTGAGTGGCCGGCCATTACCTCAGAGCCTGTGCGCCTGTGGCGGGCCTGGGAAGGTCCCTGCCCCTACCAGTCTGTGAATACTTGGAAAACACACCAATGCATCAGCTCGGCAGGCAGATTCTTGCCTGGGAAGGGAAGACAGAATCAGACGACGCTGAGCCCATGCTGCTGCGGGCCACCGCCCAGGGCTCTTGTTCCTCCTGGTGTGAGGAGTGCGGCGCCGTGGCCCCAGCTACCCACAGAGCACTTTGCGCATCAGACCGGTGGCTTTGGAATCAGGACGCTGAGTAACAAAGCAGGACTGTCCCCCACGATGTCCTGCCCCTCACAGGGAAGGTGTGAAGCCCCCAAGCATAGTCCCGCTCATGGTGCTCCACATGCTGGGCCTCAGGGGTCCTGGGGAGGACGGGGGGGGGGCGGTCCCCTTCCGCATGCAGCTCAGGGATCAGACCCACACGCCAGGGTGCGAACCTGCTCTGGGTGCTGTTTGTGCTTCAGTTTCCTGAACGTAAATGGGTTCCCTGCTCTGTGTCTTCGCCTTCACTCTCTTCCTTCTAAAAGGGGAAACTGAGTCTCAGAACAGTTAGGGGCTCCGCCCCAGATCCCTGCAACAGGCAGGCAGCAGAACCAGAAATGGAGCCAGTCCAGACCCCCTTCCTGGGGGACATTGCTGGGGTCAGTGTCATCCGGGGAGTTTGGGGCGAGATTGGTGTCCCTCCGCAGGCCTCTACATCATCACCGTCCCATGAGGTAGCGTCACCAGGGCCCAGCCAGTGGGGTCAGGCAACTTGTGTGGTGAGCAAGAAGAGCCCCCGGGGCGGCTGCCCTGCAGAGGTCAGGGAGGGCCAATCTCGTGCAGCTCCCACCTCAGCCAGAACGACAGGCGTCCGAAGCTCTCAAGCCCACTGATTTTCTGACAATCAGACTTTATAAGAAATCTTTGCTTGTGAAAGGTGAACTTGTTAATTCCAGTATTAAGAAACACAGCAGAGGTGCATGTACACTGATGTTCACGGTGGCTTCGTTCACGACAGCCAAAAGGTAGAAGCGACCCTGATTGATGAGTGGAGAAGCAAAATGTGACCTGGCTCTATGGTAGAATACTATTCAGCCAGAAAAAAGGAAGGGAATCCCAACCCATAAACCTTGGAGGCATCACACTGTGTGAATTAAGTCGGTCACAGGAAGTCCTAGGATGCGTGATTCTATCACATGAGGCCTGGAGCAGTCACTGTCACAGAGGAAGAGAGCAGAAGGAGCTGGCAGGGGTGGAAGAGGGGAAGGGAGGAGTTGGGGTTTTAGGAGGACACAGTCCAGCCTGGAAGATGAGGATGCTCTGAAGCTGGGTGGTGGCAATGTCTGCAGAACCATGGTATGACAGGGATAGGTTTTGAACTCATCAGGTATCAGAGGGGGACAAAAGGGCACATGGTCATCTCCATTGGGCAAGTGAGCAACAGAGAAGCCAAGGGTCGGTTTGAAAGTGGCCAGCAAGGCAGACTCAGAGTTGGACATCTGGATACCTCGGTGGCCTTCTCTCCCCCAGAGCAGTGGCGCCTGACCATAGAGGGTCCCAGGGCCTTCTGAGGAACTGGCAGGACCCCCGATTCCTCTCTCTCCCTAGACAACCTCCTGCACAGGCTGGCAGCTGCACGGGAGCTACCATGCACACCCAGGGTACCGTCCCAGTCAGGAGACCGCAGTCATCACACGGGCAGGAGGACCCCACGCAGGTGAAGAGCAGGATGGATGGAGATGGTGAGAGATCAGGGCAAGGTGACATGGCGTGGAAGAGATAGAGCCAGCCAGGATCTTGGAGCTCCAGACCTGTTTCCTGCCTCCCTCCTGGGCCAACAAAATCAGCATCTAACAGTTGGCAGGCACCGCTGGGGCTCCCCGCTGGCTCCATGCAAGGTGGAAAGGTTTCTGTAGATGGCTGGGCAGGCTGTGGTGGTTTGGCTTCTACGCAGCTCCAAGGAAGTGGTCGTAAATCATGGAGCCACCTCCACTCCAGGGGTCCTGCATGTTCCAGAGGGATGTGTTTGCCTCTCTGTGGTCTTTCCTGCAACAACAAAAGCAAGATTAGTCCTGAAAGGAAGCTAGCAGCCCACAGGACTCCTGCATGCAGCTGTCCTATGTAGCAGCTTCCTCCCTCTGGTGCTGGGTCTGCTGGGGGTGTCTGTGCTACAATCTTCAGCTGCTCCCTAGAAATGAATCTACTTCTTGGAATTCACAGAGAGAAGCCTCTATTTGGGGTGTTTAGAATCCTGAGTGTAACCTGGAGGTTTTATATGACTCCACATCCATGTACATTGTGCATAAAGGGTTTCTAAACCTCCAAGCCTGTCCCAGAGCCCAGTGGCCAACAAGAGGTCAAGAGCCCCTGGGCCAAAAGAAGAGGGAAACTGAGGTTCAGGGATGTGTTCATTCCTCCGTCCACCTGCTACATGCAAGCCCCAGTGCCAGGCTCCAGGGTTATAGGCTCAAACAAAGAGGCAGAGGGTAGTGTAGGTGTCATGGGATGAGCGCACAGACCAGCTGCCACCGTAAAGAGGGAGAGCAGAGTGAAATGAGCTCAGGGCACCGAGTGGAGGCCAGGACAGCAGGAGCATGGCGGAGGGCAGTGGGAGGGAGTGTGAGAAACCAGTGTGCAGAGATGAGAGAGGCTGCATGGCAGGAGGCCTGGGGGGTGCTGGGGTGCTCTTAGGCAGTGCTGAGATCTAGTGAGGGCTCCATCATAAGTCTGAAGGATGGAAGGGAGGTAAGAAAGGGACCCAGGATGTGGTGATACTTGGACAGAGTGCTGGAGAATAGCAGAATCTTCTGGGCAGGAAACACAGCTTGGGTGGGAGCCTCGAGGTGTGAGACAGTGCAAGCCGGAAGGGACGCAGGGAACTCAGTTTCCCAAGAGAAAGAGGAGCCCGTGGGGGCACTGCCAGATTCCTAAGCACATCCGGGAGATACTGCAGCTTGCAGAGGGGAACCCAGGAAAATCAAAACCCTTCGGAGCTCAATGTCCATGGGTAGTTCTGAGTAGAGGCAGGCTGCACTGTGTTGCAGGGTCCCTGGGGCCCAGAGGGCCTACAGGGCTGTACAGTGACAGTGCACACACAGCCCACACTGCACCTGTCACGGGGATGGCAGTGAGGAGACCATCCCGGCCACCCGCGTGGCCCCATCTTGGCACAAAGTCAGATCTTGCTCACTTAGCCTGTGTGTAGGTGTCTCAGTCTGCTTTTCCTCAAGTGTATTTTTATCTCTGTGCACACAGCATTGCAGGCTTCTTTGTGGGGGAGGGAATTAGCAAGACAAAAATAAACATAATTCAAATCTTCCTTCTTCAGAGGACCGAGCGCTGGTACCCACACTTCACGACACATCAGAATTGCTTAGATTTATAAGAATTCAGATCCCCAGGCTCCATCCCAGATTCCAGCACCCAGCGTCTGTGAGGCAGAGCTCGGAAGTCTGGGTGCAGTGAGTCCTGTACCCCTGCATTACGTGGGGGGATTATTCACTGTGGAACCTGAGCTTCTCCTTGAGCACCTGACATCCAAGTGTCACTGCACTGAGCCACGTCCGAACCTGAGGACGGGCAGAAAAGCAAAGTCACTAGAAGCAGCTGAGGGACGTCAGACACAAGATGTCGTCGGTTTCTCGCCTGCATTCCAAGGAAGGCTGCTCATTCATCTTGCACTCGCCGAGAAAGTAACGTAACAACTGTCCCAGAATTAATCAATTCCATGGTCACTGCCAGAACCCAAGGGGGACACTCGCATATGATAATTCCTGATAAAGATACTTTTATTTATTTATCTTTTTTTTTTTTTTTTTTTGGTGCTGGGGATCGAGCTCACGACTTCACATTTGCCAAGCAACTTACACTGCTAAGCTAAACCCACTACCCCAGATACATTAAAATACACACACACACACACACACACACACAGTTACAAAGATACATCCTGAGAGATCGTCAGCCAATGTAGAAAATAGGAGGAATCACTTTGAGGGTATTCAGATTCCAGAGAGGACTTTAGCATATGAATGAGCACAGCTTTGACTTATGTCTTGTAGGATTAAAAACTGAGTCACTGTCATAAGACACCTACAGGCAGGTTAGATGATAGTCTAGACACAGGTGGAGAAAGACTGAGGCGACTGAAAGACAGATCAGAGGAAATCAGCAGGATTCAGCATGGAGAAGTAAGACATTCTCAGGAAAGGGCTGCTGCAGATTAAGTGGTCTCACTGCAGAGGTGACATTTGAGTCGAGGCCCCAATGACAAGGAAACTGAGCCATGTAGAGAAACAGGGAAAAGGGTCCTGGGCATCAGGGGCAGAGCGCACAGCACCACAGGTGTACTGGGCAGGAGCGGGCTGGTGCCTGTGGAGAACAGGAAGCAGACCTGCAGCGCCAGTGTGGGAGGCAGGGAAGGCCCAGCTCAGACCTGCTGGTGACGTGAGGCATGTTCTGGCCGGAGGCGAAGGAGGACTTTTTGTTTTGCTTTGTTTTTTCATTTTTTGAAGCACAGCCTTGCTATGTAGTTCAGGCTGGACTTGAACTCGCTTCTATCTTCCTGCCTTCGCCTCCAGAGAACAGGAATTACAGGTGTAGGACTTTCTAATGGTGAGAGCTGACCACACAGCCACTCACTCACTGACCTGACTGCCCATTAACTCACTCATTTGTCTGCCCATCACCAAGTACCTACGCTGAACCAGGCACCCTGTTGAAGGCCAGGGGGCATGCAGGCCCTCCATCCTTGCAAATGGACCAGCACACAGACTTCAGTGTTGCTGGAGTGCACAGCTGTGGGGAGCAAGGGTGAGACCACAGAACAGACACGTCAGGCAGGGGGCAGGGAGCTCGTAGCACCGTCAAGTGGGCACCAGAGAGACTCCTATGCTTGGGGAGCATTTAACCAGGACCTCCCAAGCCTGTGCTGAGCGAGCTTATACAGTGGTGGTGGCACCCACAGGACAGGGAGGTGAGCGTGGCCCTCAGAGAGGAGACAGGAGTATGGAGCAGGTGGTGGCGGGGATCCTAGGAAGGGCGGCGGCCACATGGCAGGCAGGAAGAGGCCTTGGGGTATCAGAAAATGAGGCCAAAAACGGGGACACCAGTCCTTGCCCTACTTAGCTCCAGACTCCCGTGAAGAGGAGCGTTCCTCGATGGCAGGGCGCAGGCGACCAGGAGAGCAGTACAGACGTGACTGCCCTTGACGCCAACCCCAAGGTCTCAGCTCTGCAGGGATGCACAGTAGGATGGCAAGACCAGGCTGGGGACTGCTGGGTCACTGTCCTTTGTCCCACCCTGACCTGTCACTCAAAGCAGAGTTGACCTGACCCTTTTTGCAGATGAAGCGTACCGGGAAGAACTGGAGTCCCCCCTGCTGTCCTTCCTTCCTTGTGCTGTCACCTCCAGCCACCCACTGTCGTACCTGGACCCCACAACAGCCTCCTCACAGGTCCCTGCTGCAGCCAGGTCCTGCCCCATTCACACAGAAGCCAGAGCTTCTAGAAAGCGATCATGTCCCTCCCTGGCCCACATCTGTCTCTGCTCTGAGATATTCCCAAGCCCCTAGGGAGAGGCACTGGTACAGAATGTTCTGCAAGTCTAGATCTGCCCACCCATCCAAATGCTCTCTGGAAATTAAGACCCTCACAGCCGTGCAGTGCCACACAGACTCCCTGCAGACCAAGACACCATGCGTGGGGCCAGGTGCCCAGCGGGGTGGGTGGCGAGCGTTCCGGGGATGATGCAGGCTGGTGCCTTCTCTCTTCAGCTTCCTTCTCTTCTTGCCATTTGAGACTCAGGGTCTCCCATTTCCTCTGCTGCTCCTTCACGGGTTACTCCTGGGCCAGAAATAGCTTCGCTTTCCAAGTGCTCCTGTCTGTGAAGGCCAGCTTGGTCCATCAGGCAAAACTGTGCTCCAGGTGTGTTCTGGACACTGCCCAGAGCTTGGGGCAGGTGGCAAAGCAGGGTTTGTGCTTCCAGGAGTACATAGCTTCCAGAACAGAGGGATGGAAGCCTCGAAGGGCACAGGAACCATGAGGAGGATGTCTGTAGGGTGCAAGTGAAGAAGGTAATTTGGGAGCAGCAAGGGGGCACCTGTCCCAGGGGCCCAGCATGGAGAAGTCAACCTGGTGCTCTGGTAGGAGGAGGAGCAGGCAAAGCATGTTATCCATGGTCACAGGACAGCTGCCTGCATGAGACCCGCTGTTCAGTGGCCACTACACCAAGTCCTCACAGCTCCCTTTGATGTGTGTGTCACTCCCTCAGGTGCAGATGACACTGGCGCTGACAGAGACATCCCCAGAGATCCTTGTTGCAAATGACGGTGCTGGATTTTAAGAAAATCTCCCTTATGAAGGCCACAGAGCAGCACACAGGACACAGCCTCTAGCAGATGGGAAAAGTTCTCAGGAACACATGAGGACAGATCGAACCCAATGCCACAAATGCAACTCTTAGGCCAGGAGTTTAGCTCAGTGGCATAAGTGGCTGCCTGTCAAGTGCAAGGTCCCGAGTTCAATCCTTGATGCGAAAAAAAAAAGCGACACTTACTGAAGAACAAAATCGTTTCCCCAAGTTTTACCCAGCACTTCTGTGGCAGGTAAAGGGAATCAGATGTAAAATTCATGCTTTTTCCAAACAAAAGCCCTCAAAAGCTAAGCAGCAAACAGTCTGCTCCATCTGGCCACTAATTCTCATAGTTCCAGTGACGTCTGTCTATGAGTCCCACTACACTGTAAACAGGATTGGCGTGAATCTTGGGGTTTTGATTAACACATTAGTAATGCCTACGGAGTCATCTAGAATACACCCTATAAATTAGCCAAGAAAATAGAGCCCAAAGAGGAAAAAGTGCTCCTGGTAACAGCCCTGCTTAATCACGGCAAAGCATGGGACAGCTTCTGGGTTCTCCGACCAATGCCTGGTCTACTCACCTCGGGGTGCACTCACTGCAGAGCTTCTGGGTCTCCAGCCTTGGGCAAGCACCTGTCTGGGGCCCACGGAGAAATCAGAAGTCTCCCTCCTTGAGCCATACTGTTAGG